GGACCTTTGCTGCAATTATCCCTTTGATTAATTGAACTTCGTCATCCGTATAAGCATTTTCAGGGTATTTTTATTTATTTTATTTTTTTCGTGAGAAAAGTAGAAAACGACTTTCTTAGAAATTTCTCCCTTTCTGGGCATTTAGTAGCCACGGGCAATTGTACAGTTTCATATCTAGGCAATTATTGAGGTTTTTTTTTTTCAGGATACTGCATAATGCATTGGTCAAAAGCAACTGGGCCAGAACATCGTACCAAGTTGTTTCTTGTCTTCTTCTTAACCATTCATTTTCTTTCCAGGAAATTTGACGGCCATAGACTTTGCAAGGGTAGACAGACCTATCGAGTCTTTGCAACCAAGCTTATTAATTGGCTGCTGGTACTGGAATGGTTCTGCTGCTAAGAGTTTTCCAAGCATAGACACACAAAGAAAGGAGAGAGAGTAAATTGATAACCTCGTTCATGGCGCTTGACGCAGTTGTCTCGGTGATTATCCAAAAACTGAGAGATGTAGTAGCAGAAGAACCAATAACGTACAATAAGGTGATTGGGACTCAACTGAAGGAGATGCAAGATGAACTGGAGAAAATGCAAGGCTTCTTCATTGATGCTGCAGATAAGGAAACAAATGTGGACGCCATCAAGAAATGGACAGATGATTATCTTCAAAATCTCTACGAGGTGGAGGATGCCATCGAATCTTTTGCTCTTCGCATCACTCGCCAGAGGAAGAGAATGGGATTTCTGATGAACCATGCTCTCTTTCTTAAGAATTTCACTGCTTGCAAAATGCTTAGCAGGAAATTAAAGAAAATTCAAAGAAAAATTGTTTCCCTCGAGCAGAAGAAGCCCGATGATGTTGAAAATGCAAGTCTCAGATCCAATCGTTCCCATCAAAATTATGAAGAAAATGATGCACAAATTGATTCAAGCGGTGCTGTTAGCTTTAGTAGGTGGACTCTTGGTGAAATTCATGAAGAAGAGAAGACAAACACATATGATTATGCTCTATCGGATGATATCACACCGTCTGCAGAGCATAGTATGAGTACTTCCTCATTTACCAAGTACAGGAAATTGTCAAGCAAGGATTCAATTATTCGAGAGCGTTGGGAACAGGGAAAACTCATGTTCGGCAGTTTTTCTGATGAGCAGGAACTATACAATGTTGGATTTAAACAGGATGTGCATGATCTAGTGAAAAGGTTAACCGGAGAGGACAATGGGGATAATCGAATCATCTCCCTTGTTGGTGAAATGGGCTCAGGCAAGACGACCTTGGCTCGTGCTGTTTATGAAAATAGAATCACTAAGGATCACTTCAATCCTTTGCGTGCTTGGATCACCATCTCAAAAGATTCTAGCACAGAAGATGTCCTGCTCAACCTACTAAAACAAGTGGGAGAATCCAAGGACCAAGATGGTGTACACGGTGAGCAAACGCTCCGAACTATAGTCTGTAAGAGGTTGAAAGATAGGAAGTACTTGATCGTGTTGGATGGTGTTTGGAGTAGTGAGTCTAGTGAGGGATGGGAAAATCTCAAAATTCCATTTCCAGATAAGAAAAATGGAAGTAAGATAATTCTCACAACTCGTGACGAACAAAGGGCAAAAAATGCTTTTCCGAAGAGCCCTCCATACTACATGAAGAAGTTGGACGATCAAGACAGCTGGAAATTGTTCTTGCATAAAGTGGGCGAGGAACGTAATGAATGTTCGACTCTGAAGAAGAAAATTATTAAGATATGCAACGGTCTCCCCATGAATATTATCCTCCTTGGCAGCCTTTCGTCAAAAAACAATCCTACGGAATGGGTTCCAATACTAGACAGCCAAGAGAACGGGCATACCTTGGACATCTTGTCATTGTGCTACAACGATCTGGATGCCCACTCAAAACTCTGTCTGCTTTATTTGACGCTCTTTCCTCAAGAGTATAATATCCCAATCAGGAGGCTGCTACGCTTGTGGCTTGCAGAGGGATTCGTGAAGCTGCCTGAAGAAGACGAGGTACAAAAGTGTTTTGACAATCTGGTTATTCGCAGTTTGATCCAGATCTCTAAACTGAGGTCTGATGGCAGCCCAAGAAAATGTCGTTTGCTAGGTGTTCTCCGTGACTACTTAGTGGACAAGGCCCGAGATATCAGCCTTTTCCATGTCCATCGCAACTCAGCTTGCCAAGTTTCTGCTTCATTCTTTGAGCGTAGGCTTGTTGAGTCTGCCGATGCCAAAAATTGCTCACTGAATCCATCTCAGTCACGGAATCCATCTCAATTTCAACATTGGCGCTCCTACATATCATTTAACTTCCAGAAGAAAGATATACCAGCAATTGGAGTACGTAATCTTCTTAGAGATATGATATGCAAGGGCTTTGGATTACTTAGGGTGCTTGATCTAGAAGGGGTGTATAAGCCAAGTTTGCCAGACAATTTAGGTGATTTGTTTCACTTGAGATATTTGGGGTTACGGTGGACATTCTTGGACAAAATCCCGAAATCTGTAGGTGACTTGCCCTACCTTGAAACTTTAGATCTGAAGCACACTTACATAAATAGAATTCCCAGTTCAATTTGGAAATTAAAACATCTGCGGCATCTCAATCTCAATGAGATTAGTCTCGACAAGGACATGCCTTTGCATCAAAGTGATTCCTTGCCTCCACTTTTGACTCTCTGGGGATTATCTGTTGATCCAGAGAGTCCAGTGAAAAATTGTTTGAGCAAGTTAGATCAACTTAGAGAACTGGGCATTTCATTCCGTTGGAACAATCTTGATGATCACTTGAATCAAGCAACGAACGGTTCGAGGAACTTTAGTAAACCTATAGAAGAGTTACTCAAGTGGATTTCACAACTGACAACTCTTCAATCCTTGAGATTGCGGTCTAAAGACGATAGTGGACGCCCTTCTGAGCTCAGTTTAAAGCCATTGTCAGCCTTGGTGAAACTTACCAACCTCAATTTGCTCGGTAAATTGCAGAAACTACCAGAGCTTGATCAATTTCCTCCAAATATCAAAGTTCTCACACTATCAGTCTCACAGCTCCTCTATGATCCTATGCCAATCCTAGGAAAGCTTCCTGGCTTAACTGTTCTCAGGCTTTTGGCCAATTCATACAAGGGGGATAAAATTGTCTGCCCACAGGAAACATTCACAGAGCTCCGAGTCCTAAGTCTCTGGATGTTGAAGGACTTAAAGGAATGGGAGTTGGAAGAAGGCGCAATGGAGAAACTTAAGGAGCTCAATATCAGATATTGTTCAAATCTGCATAGCATTCCCAGCAGGCTGTTGCAACAGAGGGAATTGAACTTGATCCTAACAAACATGCCCCCAAAATTCAAAGAAAATGTTGAGAAGAATTCTAGTAAAGTGTCTATTACTGTCAAGGATTACAAGTTTACTTCACTTCCGGTTAGTTTCTGAATCAAACACTGCCTCTTTTTCATTTTTATTCATTCTCAACTTTGATTAAAGAATTTGATTATATGAACTGTTATGGCAGTGGGAACTAGAAGATGTTTCTTCAAATGAAGTGGCTTCCAAAGTCAATGGCGAAACTTCACACATCTGAAGCATTTTGTTCTATTTCAAGACAAACTACCATCAAGTCATATGAATAAAGGACTAGAATTTATAGATTATAATGCACGTTGATGTCGTCGTGGTTTTGGAATGCTTTTCCCAGAGTTCAGCTATATGTATTTAATGAATTTTGAAAGCTTTAAGTATCTAAACAATTGTCCAGGACTGTACTATCTCTTTTCAATAAATGGTAAGTTTAGCATCAAATCATTTTGCTGTTTCTGTTTACCTATTGTGTGTGCTAACCAATCAATCATACCTTAGAAAACTGACATCCAAATCTGAATACAATGGTAAATTTCCTGAAGATGGATTGAATGCAAGCATTGTGTAACCATTTCCTCAACTCTCAAATGTTTTAAGTGTCATCACAGTCACTAAGGTTACAGCAGAAAGTTAAAAAGATCTGTCAATAATTCGTTGTTAGAGGGAAATTATTGGATTCTACAGATTCATGCCAGTCTTAAAATCCTTGTTAGTGTTAGATTACAAATAACTGTATGCTTAATATGTACATTTTTAACCCTCAGAGTGCGGTTGTTGTAGGTATCTGAAGATCTTAAACCAAGTCATGAGGTATCCTGAGAGTAGCAAAGATCTGTGTTACATATTCAAAGATATCAGCTAACCCAAGATCTTGATTTAGGGCTCGCTTGGCAATGTCTTCGAAAAGTCAAAATGAGCTTCTGAGACTCAAAATCTTCTTTTTGACCTATTTGGCTAATTTTATGAAAGTTCTTTTTGTAGTTCGAAATTTTTTTAAAGGAAACTAGTTCAATATTAATGTAGTTGTAACACCCTAATTTTCATAAACCCTAGAGTGTTACTAAAATTCAATGTTCTTCACGTTAATGCGAAAACAATAAAGGAAATTTTGTTTCTTTATTTCAATAATAATTATCAATTAAAACATGGAGTGGGTATTTATTTAAAAATAAACATAACCACCTAACTATTGAACATACATGTCTTTGAACAAATTTAAAACTAAATTATCATTTGAAATATAAAAAACTAAATGCTTTTAGTTCTTCAAATCTGTTGATACCCTATATGATCATCATGTCACAGTTCTAATCGATCTGAACTAATCTATAAGTTATTGTAAGAGTAAGTATTTAAAAACACATGATAAGATACGTGCAGTTTCCACACACAATTATATAAACAACAAAATGGAGACTTCATACCACATTTCACTTGGAGTATATTGGTACTCAAACGAGATGCTCATCGTGTAGTCATTTTGAATTTCCAACAAATTTCACATTTCGTTATAAAGAATCCAATAGATTTCACATTTCGTTAATCGAACTCGAAGGCCCACTAGCAATTAATGCATAATTAATTGAATAAATAAAAATCTAAGAAAAATGAGAATGAGAATGAGATAAAAAATGGGTGTCAAATAGGGGCTAAATCACTTGTACAAAATTTATCTTACCAAAAGACTTCAAGGTGGAGGGTCACAATGGACCGCTTAAATCGTAATCTCTCCTTAGGCAATTTAAATCTTTTTAACAAAGTTTTTCAATCTTGTTAATACACAAATCAAGAAAACTCAAATAATAAGTGAGAACTAAAAATCTCTTATAATATAGATTTTTAATTGGCACATTTTTTAAAAACATCACCCCAAAGCTAGAGCTAAACACGTAAACATTTATAACTTGTAAAATTTAAAAAATGATCAGTAACAATTTAAAATCTAAAATTATCATCACTTAAAATCATTTTGAAATCAATTTAAGATTGTTATTTAAATCTATTTAATAATTAAAACAAACATTTAATATCAAACCTTTAAAAAAAGAAAATCTGTCATTATAATTATTTTTTATAGGGAACAGTGACGAAATGATCACTGTTCATTGTGAACAGTACCACTCACTGTTAACGTCCTTTAATTTTCTTCATGTTAATTCGAAAACGATTAGTGAAATTTATTTGTTTATTTTCAATAATAATTATCAATTAAAACATGGAATGTATATTTATTTAAAAATAAACATAACTACCTAACCATTGAACAAACACGTCTTTGAACAAATTTAAAACTAAAATAATCATTTTGAATCATAGAAAATTTAATGCCTTTAGTTTTTCCAATCCTCTTGACAGCCCATATCACAATCCGGTCATAGTTTCAATCAATCTTATTGTAAGAGCGAATATTTAAAAATACTCAGTAATATACTTGCAATTTTCATACACAATTATTATATAACCAATAAATTAGACACTTCATACTATGTTTTATTTGAAGTATATCGATAATTAAACGAGACACTCATCACGTAGTTATTTTGAATTCTCAAAGGATTTCACATTTTGTTATAAAGAATCTAATAGATTTCACATTTCATTGGTCGAACTCAAAAGTCCACTGACAATTAATGTATATTTAATTGAATACATAAAAGTATAAAGAAACAAATTACTTGCACATATTTACGTGGTTAGATCAAACGAATTCTTTTAAATAAAAATCACGTTCAATTATCCTAACTTCCTAGATTGCCTTAAAAGTGAAAATTGTTTGAATTTTCTAGTTGTACATAATTTAGGTTACATGGGGGTACCCTCCCCACCCCCCCCTCCCCCAACATGGGGGTGGGACCCATGCGAATAAAAAATATTTTCTTTAACTAAGTCACACCTCTATGTGAGGGGATGAATACCCTTATATAACCTAAATTATGTACCACTGACAATGCCCAAATTGTTTATATCATTCAAATTCTGCATGCGTGTATGTATGTATTTGTGTGCGTAACTGGTGGTCAATTATGGGATCTTTGGAAAGTATTTATAATTAAAAAAAGTAGTTGAGTTATGGCATAATTGAAATATCAGAGTCGTGTTCGGTGTTCCACCACAAATTAGATGAGCTTTTGAGTTTTCTATTGGAAGTGTGATTTACAAAAAATGAATTCAACTAAAAATAATAAAAATAATAATAATAAATTAAGTGTGGTTGTAAGTATAGTAATATTTATGAATAATTTTGATACTATTGCAGCACCAGTCATTGTGATTGTTGTATCTCTTGTAACCATAATTCTTCCCTATAAATATGAAACTTTGACTTTTAATAAAACACACATATCTATTGGTTTCTCTTTTGTTCTCTCTAATTTATAGCAGGCACGATTTTCTCAAAATCAAAGCAAATTAGTTATAAGGCAATAATTTTTATGTAAAATCATCTATCACATGTACCAAATCAATTTGTTTTTGCCGATTTCATGAATTTTTTTATATTTCGTAGAGCTTATATCACGTAAAAATTAGTATGTACGCAAATCACGTAAAAATTGATATGTCTGCACATCACTGAAGAGCTCAATCTATTTTTTAAGGGAAATGCTATTTGTACATAGCATTTCCCATAATGCTTCACATAAGGGCCAAGTGGCGCCTTCCCATTGGAGGGGAGCCTCGGCCCCACATGTGGGCCCAGGCGCCCCTCCAATGGGGAGGCACCACTTGCCTCTTATGTGAACTATTATGTGTGATCATAGCACTACTCATTTTTTAATACCGAAATCCAACTTGCAGCAAATGATGCTTTTTTTTTAATAATGATTATGTTTTACCTATTTTTAATGCACGTCTGTAATGAAATCCAACTTGAAGCAAATGGTGCTTTTTTTTTTTAATAATGATTATGTTTTACCTTTTTTTAATGCATGTCTGTAATGAAAATTTTTCTGAGATCCAAATGTAGTAGTCAATAGTATAAATAATGTTTCCGTCTGTAACGACCCGAGTAATTTTCTCCGGCCATTAACATATACGTACTGTCCGCTATAGGGAGTAATTTTCTCCCCTCACGGCTTTCTGGACGCGTCCCCCAGGATTCGAACCCAAGACCTCCAACTCATATGGGAGACTTAAGTTGAAACCT